TTGAGGCTTTCCAGGCAAATTACAACCTGAGACAAAGGTATTGATGCAATATTACATGTGGGGAGCAATAAAAGGTAATGTTATCAGCAGCAGAGGATTGTCTTTGAAGAAAAACCTGATTCTAGCAGAGGGGTGCCCCCTCTCTCTGTGTATGGTGCTCCTCCATGCTCTCTTACTCCTGGATTACAATCTCTTCATCCATTATTAATGAAGTTAAACTACTAGTGGCATGCTGAATGTGCTGCATGGGAGATTTGTAGCTAATCCAGCGCAAAACAGCCCCAGTCACATAATGAAGGGAAAAAAAGCACAAATGTCAACAGTTTCACACTGGGACTGGATTAGACACCCCCACCTCACCCTCCTCACTCACACACGGCCTCGCTGTCTCTCTTTCTTTCTTGCCACTTGCACAGATGCCCCTACAAACACGAGTACACACTAACAGAGTCACGCAGGAAATCTCGTGGATGTGGTCCAATAAAATGATAGAGATTTGCTCTCCACTGTGTCTTTTCCGTATGAACATTTCCAAACTTCTTTCCCTTTAAGTTTTTATTTACATGCCCCTCACAGCATGGGGTCTTCCCTGTCTGATAAGAGGTGAGTCTCAGGAGAATAGACATGACAAAAAGTCAACAAAAGCGACAAAAACCTATAAAGACTGATGTCAGTTTTTTGTGCATTTATATTATTCTATGTGTAAAAAAATGGATGTGCAGATTTGTTTGGGTTCACAGATGGAGCCACCCAGAAAATGTTGGTACGTTTGCAGGACTTTGTGCAGCTAAGGCTCTAGCATGAGTTCACAACAACTTCAGCTCCACCCGTCACCTTTTCTGTATCAGTAACTCTGCAGATCTGATCTGAAGAAAAAGACCAAACAAACATCAGGGTCTATATACGAAGTAGTTTGACGCAGTCGTCCAACAGCTGTAAGACTGTTCCTTAGATTCAGCCACATATAAGGGCTGTGACACAGAGATATACAACACGTGTTGACAGCATGAGTAGATGTTGACCCTGCTTCATCGCTGAGGTTCTCGCGTGTCACTTGCAGTCTAGCGACTGCTTGGGGTTGGTCGTTGTGTTGTGGTGAAACACTGTGCTCGTATGTACAGTTCAGCCAGGCGATGTGGCTCCATGAAAAGCAGAGACGAGCATGAAACACTGGAACTAATCAGAACACAGGATGAGGGACTAGCATCCTGATTTCAGATTAGACACCCTCCCTCCTTTCCTCTTTCCCTTCATTTCTCTTTTTTCTCTTCATGTCTTTTTTCTTTGTCATTCTTTATCTACCTTCAGAGGTGATGTTTTACATCTGCACTCTTCTCTTTTATGTCATTTCTGCCTCTAAGTTTTTTTAAATTTTCTCCATTCATTTCAGTCTTTAACATTAAAAAGACATTTTAAAAAAACCTAAAAAGCATTCACTTGAACAGTCACACTGGACCAACATTTCATTTTCACCCACAGAAATCGGGACAGTTTTCTCTCTAGTTTGGTATCAACCAACTTCTACACCAAAAAAAAAATTACCTGGATAATCCAGCCTATTACACACAATTTTTCCATTTATTGTTGGTTTTAGTGGTGGCTTGGAATGACTTTAATGGAAGCACAACACTAAATCAGGTGGTCCAGTGTTAAGATTGAGTAATTACAGCTAGGAGGAAGGGTCAGGCTGGGTGGATGGATCGCCAAGAGTCAGTTTTGAGTATGTAAAAATCAACTTCTGTAACATTTACAGCACACCTACATAATGTCACTAAATTTGAATAATACATTTACTTATATTTGCCCAACCCATGATCTCTGACTCGATTTAACCAAAAACTTTCTGTATATTACCTGATCTAAACTACCTTATACATACTAATTATAGCAAATATCATAAGGGGTGTCCCGATACGATATTAATATTGGTCCGATATCAGCAAAAAAACGAATATCGGTATCAAGCACAACCCAGTGTTGGAAACAACTTTACACAATATCTTTAAGGCAGCATTTTTTCTGTTGCATGTAGATGAACATTACATTGAACGACTGCCAACTTAAAGCTGCTGTGAGAAACTTTTGGTTTGTGTCGATTTTGGCGCCCTCTGTGGACATAGCAGCTCATCTTATCACTTTAGTGAGCCTCTTTTGCACATAGACAGTCAAATCTCTCATTGTGAATATTTGCTGTAAAAGAGCAGAAACACTTCGCCATGCCGTCAATTAGTTTAACAGATTAAAAACTACGATATAGGAAGTGACAGTCTTACTGCTAGTGGTCTTTATGTTCACAAGTTATAAGACACATTAGCACTGACCTCAATCTGTGTCTCAACCAGTTGAAAACATCTCACGGGAGCTGTAATGACTTTTATTTTCAATCTGAGAAATAAAAATGAGTTTATCCACACCTAAAGACCACTGAGAAACTTTTTCCTTTTAACATCATTTTACATCTTTAATCAGTAGCTTAGATTGGATTTGAACATCGGTCTAAACTGAGCTATAAGTGACCTAACTCCATGAGAAATGTGAGATTGTTGACATCTACAAAAGAGCGACTAAAGTGAAGTTACAAATCTAAACCTCACTTTCAAAAACAGTTTTCAATCACTACGATTTGAAAATGTTTTCCTGCAGAAACTGAGTCTTGCTTACGATAAATAAAATGTATTCGAGCATTAGTGCACGGCCCGGATCTGCCCATCCTTGTTTCCTCATGGCCTCTCTTCACCACAGCAGACCAATTAGGACTAAGCTGATTCCAGTTGTGACCTTTGGGTGCACATCGGGTCTGCTGACAGGAGAGTTAGCATGTAGCCGAACTGTTTTACATGTTATCGATGGGGTGGGAGGCATCATAGTCATTTTATCACACCAATTTCATTCTTGGCCGATTTCCCCTTAGGCAGGTTAGTGGCAGCTTCCCATTGATTTTTCATGTAATTGATCAGAGACCTGCTTGAGCAATTTATTGGCCTGCTCGCACCTGTGATTAAGGCTGAGGGCCGCATGTGTTTATGCATGCACGGACTATTGCTTTTCCCCAAGATCAGCCACGCGCCATAAAAGCAACGCATGTGCTGCCTGTGACTGTGTGTGTGGCTGTCAGCGTAATGAATGCCGTCCAAGTCTCAGGGACATTTTTAATCTGGCTCGACCAAAGCCATGTCATGTCCAAAGTCAAGAGGAATGGAGACGAGCTCGTCTGACTGACCAGCAATGACAGGAGTTAATGTGTTCACATAAAAACATGAACCAGAGTTTAATTCAAAGTAATCCTCATTCATTTGAAGCTGCTTCATGCATGGGATTAATATTAGAGCAGTCGGGGGGCCAAAACCACAATGACATCAGCTAAGCGTTTTCTTTGGAAGCTGAGGATAGGATAATTACAGAAGAAGACAAAGACGAAGAGCTGAGTACTTTTTAAATATACACTACGTTAGCCGGGCATGTCAGGGGAAGTGAGGGTAGCCTATCATGTAAGTCGTTTGCTGGCCGTGCGTAAAACGTTCGAGAAACCACAAGCCATGTTGCTGGGCTGGAGTGCTTAGCGTCGGTGCGGCTCGTCTCCCTCTGGTACTGTGACAGAGCTGGAATAGCAAGGATCAGGCATAAAGCCGCTCAACAAGCTCAAGAGCTATCAAAGAGCCACCCTTTTAATTTGCTTAATTTACAGGCAGCTTTTTCACTAATAACGTTCTTGGAGAGATACTTGACAAATGGAAACACACACAGGATATTTCTCCTAGGAGGAGACTCATCTGATGTTTTTGTCTTTTCTTCTATCTTTCTCCTCCTCCTCCTCCTCCTCCTCCTCGTCTAGAAAGGAGAAAGTCACACCCCGCTATAAAACTCAATTCCTACTCATTACTGTATTTCTAACATATTAGCAGTATATAAACTGATTTGTTTAAAGATTTGTGGCTGTGGAAACACTAATTTGACTCCGAATTTTATTACATGGCCACAAAGTGCTGGCCAGACAGAACGCTAGGCGACAATTGCCTGTGGTTTGAGGCTAAAACTGAAAAAAACGGAGGAGAAACGGGGCTGGTTTTCTGGAGCAAATTGTAACCCTGAATAATGGAACCGCTCCACATGCATGAGCATTACTCAAGCTTCAGGAGGCAACAGGATGATTACAGTGTATACCGGCACTGACGTGTATATTTCACTGGGAAAATGTTTAGATTTGCTTTTAATGGTGGACTGGGAGGGATAAATAAAGTCGGCATGGGGTGAGGTGAGGGCAGGAGTGAGACACCATGAGCGTTTTGGCGTGATTTGATCAGAATTTAATTAATGCTTTGCTGCAAAGACGGAGTGATGAGTTTTTGTCTGTAATAAATCACTTTTATTTGGAGCGTCTTTGTAAATAGGGGCCTGGCAATGACTCAAAACAGTCTTTATCAACAGAGATGTAAGGAAATGTACGTTTTTATACAGTTTGACAGGAGTCATGCAAATTAAATGATGTTTTGCACAGAGCAGGTTGAAATGCCTGTGTATAAGAATAAGAATAAGAATAAGAATAAGGATAAGGATAAAAAGAACTTTATTGATCCCCGAAGGGAAATTCAATAGTCTGTTGTCTCACGTAATATGTCTATAAAAGTTATCTACTATTTACATAAGAGGTATAAAGCTTGATGGCTGTTGGTACAAAAGATCTTCTAAATCTTTCTGTCCTGCAGCGTAGAGAGAGGAGCCGTCCACCTCCATTTGCCCTATATGTTCAGAGTGCAGCAAAAGGATGCCTTAGAGGTCTATATATTGACATTTGTTGTGTTTTATAGGTTATTTTACATCCTTAGATAAACCTGCGTCTGCCCTGGTGCAAGTATTAGAAAAATAGCAAATATTCAACACTCATAAAACATCCAGATATAAGTTTGCACACTCCTTAAAAAGGAGGCCAACTAAAATGGCCTTTAAGTTTGAGATTCTGTGCATCTGTTGAGGCTGACTCGCCGGGCAGTCCATCATCTCTCCTCTTTTAAAGTGCAGTCTTGAATGCGTGCTGATACACATGGCAAGCAGGGAAGAGTGATTTAAAGTCCTCTCCAGTATGCAGGAGGAGAAGGAGGAGGAGGAGGAGGAAAAAAAGTTGAAAATGTCCAACTGTACTGACGCTGGGGGGCTGATGTGCTCGTTAAGAATCAGGAGAGAGCATCAGCAGAGCAGGTCACCCTGTTTCTCACATCACAGCCCCATCAGAAATTCTTTCAAGTGTCCTTCTGCGTCGCCAAAGATGACAACGGCGAATCGATAAGCGCTTGAAATGAAAAGAAGCCGCCGGTTTGCCCCCGAGGCGAAAGATTTCATACCCGCCAGCCTTCTCTGAACTTCAGGCATTCCTCTGCACCTTTCTGCGTGAGAAAGAGGAGGCTCTTGACTGATTTTTTTCCCTCTCCCTCTCTCTCTCTTTCGCTTTGTATAAGAAGGTAAGAGGAGAATATAGCAGGACCATCACGCCTCTCCAGACGCAGCTTACCCTCTTTTTCTCCGCGTGCAGGCGGGGCGTGATTTGAAGATGTGCATGCATGGTGCAGGGTTGATATTTTTCTTGGTCGTTTGCTCGCTCTTTCATGTGTGTGTCTCTTTGTGTGTGTGTGCACGTGTTTGTCCATGCCTTTTCGTGCATGTGCCACATCCCAACACCTAATATTAAAAAAGCGCACGGGTCAAATTTTGGAGAACAAAGCGAGCCGTGTTGGCAAATATGCACATATTTATTTTTCCCTTTATTGGTTTGCATTTGACCAGCCGCTCTGTGTCTGCACGAGTGGAAAATTAATAAAATATGGCCTTCTTAGGCCCTTTGAAGATGAATAAAGAGGAATTTGTGCGTCAAAACTTACTTAATGCAAAGGCTTTACTTCTGATTAAATCACCTCTTTCGTGTAGCTGTTTTAAATGACATTAACCCCTTTATTTACCCCCATATAAGGCTGTGAATAAGCGTTTACCATACTATACCAGGATCCTGAGGCGGTGTGTGTTTTTTTGCAGGGGGGTGTGTGATGTGCACGTTTTGCTTCAGTGTCCCCTTTTGCCAGGAAATTCCCGTGTGGATGTGCGCATTAATTACCGCTTTAATGGGAGTATGACTAAAAATGTAAAAGAAGGATTAGGCGCAGTGAACGCGGGGCCTGCGTCCGGTCTGCCTGCCTCACTTAAGATGCGAATGGAAGAAAAAAAATCAGTCTGTATCTAACGAAACGGATCTATAAAGAACATTTGCATCCGAGCCAGCTGTTCACTTCATCTGCACATAAATCCGCAACACGATAGGGCTCTGTCTGGCCCTGGAGAAGAAGACTAATGCATCCATTTAAATACCTTCTCTGTTACCTCTGAATATTCAAAACGCAGAACATGTTAAATAATGTTGAATCAGAGGACATATTGGTCAAATAATGCGCTTGATTGGGCATTAAATTTCTGATTACATAATCGGCTGGTACATGAGGACAATCTGAGACTTTGACAGGGAATATCTGTGAGTGTAAAGAGGCAGATTTGGTTATAAATCTGTGGTTGTTGTGTCGATTGTTTATCTAACGCGCACTTTGGATAATAAGCAGTTTAGCCGCTTACTTTGAATCGCAGGTTTGATGAAAGCAAATTGACCCGTTTGATGATTTGAAGGTGCATCTTACAGTCAAATCACCGGGGCGGGCTGACAGAAAAGCGCTCTCCCTGTTTTGTTTTTTTATTTTCTAATTTTGTTGCTTTTTGTTTTTTTTTCAAACATGCACGCCCTTTTTAAAGATGCCGCTCTGATTTTTTTTTCTCTTTGATTGTTGTTGAAAGTTGAGAGCCTCTCGCCCTCTGCTAGACTTCACAGGCACAGCCGCGTATATACACAAACACACCCCTTTAAAAGCACACACACACACACACACACACACACACACGCACACACACACACGTAGACGCGCGCGGGGTCCCTCTCCGAGCTCAAAAGACAGAGGGAAAAAAATGCGCCACTCTTGGAGCGTCTTTCAAGGGGGAAAAGTTAAGGAAGAGAGAAGAGGACGAACCAAGGGGAGACTCGGATGAAAGCGCCTCCTTCGCTATTTCTCCACGCTCTGTAAATAGATGCTTATTTATGCGCATAAATGAAAGAAACCTAAACGGTAGCGCTGCGTCTCTCACTTTTTTTTGGGATAACGTAGCAGAGGAGCCACATCCAAAAAAAAACCCAACAACAACAACGACATATTTCTGGACACAAACTTCCACTTTCCAGCGTCTTCAGCGGGACTGTGAAGTCGCCTGAATCCGCGTAGGAGACACATCTGCAGGCGTGTGAGTGAGTGCGTTTGGACGGTGGGATTTATCTCTTCAACTGTAGCGTTAAACGCCGACGGCTTTGGAGAGAAATAAAGCTCATCGGTGTCAGCAGCTGGTAAGTGTAGCAAAGGGAGAAGGAGTTGGATAGAAATAATGAGACGTGAGTTAATGTAAGTGGAGGAATTTGCTCCACGGCGTGTGTTTTTTATGGCTGCGCGGTGCGTTTAAAGACGCGTAAAAGCACGAAGGGATGTCAGGGAAGGGTTAGCCTCAGGTGGTGATGATGATGATGATGATGTAGCTATTACAAGTAGTGATGGTGATAAAAAGAGGAAGGTAAGCAGAATTCATTTAGAAGAAGACAGAAGATATATTTGTGAATTTGATATTTGGGTCATTTTAGCTCGTCTGGTTGTTGGTGTGCCAAAAATTACGCACGGTTATCCGTAAAGTTAATAAAATGCGCATTTCTTTTGGTTAAAAACTTGGAAAAAGTTAAAAATTCATTTAAAATCGTTTATCATTTAGAAGCTAATTTTAAAAGTGATGTTAGTTCAGTTGCTTTTCTTCTCTTTTTATCATTTTGTAATATAATAAGAGGAAAAAATGCGTGAAAAAAAGGAAAAAAAAGAGGCGACGTTCACGGTCTCGCGCCTTTAATTAATACAGGACCATATGGTGGAGGTTAGTCGATTCATCTCCCGGTAAAGGCTGCTGCAGTCTCATGCTCTACTGTGTTAATTTCACAAGTAAAGCCAGTGTGAGGCCATGCCAGCTTTCTGTCTGCGCTGGGCCTCGTGCCACGTGAGTCACACTGACTCACATCAACTGTTGGTGAGAGGAGAGAGCGCGCGAGAGACAGAGAGCGTCCGTGCACCGAGAGTGAATAGATGAGACGAGATTAAAATCACTAATCATAATAATAATGCCGCTGCTTTATTTTTAACCCCGCTGCTGGTGGCTCTGCACTTGGGCATATGTTAAAGAGAAAATAGAAAAATGAGGTTTAATAAACACAGACAGTCACAAAACGACAATAGAGGGTTTTATTAGGTTTAATATTAATATTATTATTATTTATAAGTCGTATGTAAAATAATTTTCCCTCATGATCCGTTTAAATTTCTCGCTTTTTCTCTATTTGGTGCGTAAAAATCATAAAACAGGCCGTCTGGTATATAATATTTTTAATGCAAAGTTCAATATTTTTTTACTACATGCTTTGGTTTTTAAGTCCTCAAAAAGAAAATAAATTTAAACGTTTTAAAAACAGTTTTTCTCTGTGTATAAAACAGAGGGTGTGATTCCACAGGCCTCCTCGCAGCCTCATACAGCAGGGTGAAATATTGGAGGCTCCCCCTCATTAAATCTCACTGATTAGATAACACTGGGCCGCGCGCAATAACCTCCCACCTTACAGCGTGACCCCCACTATTTCATTTTGCTGTGAGAATACAGAGCTCGGAGGAAGAGGAGAGGTTGTGCAGGTACACACCAGAAAAACTTAACCTCCAATATCTCCGTGTTTTAAATGAAAGAGAGGAGGAGAAGAGGCGCGCAGATGATGTAGAGCAGGTGAAGGGAGGAACTGAGGAAAATGGTTAACAGCATGACTGCATGCAAATTCCCCCCGACTTGAATTATCATAAGCAAACAGTGTGAGCCTGGACTAATAAAACCCCATCTGTGTAACTTCATATCGAGGTAGTAGAAGGGCTGCGATAATGAATTTTGTAATATCCCACCGACAGACATCTCAATCAGACTCTAATCCCGTGATTTTACTACGGAATCACTGCACTCCCAACTGCTGCAGGCTGCTGCTGCACAACACCAGAGCCGAACCCGTGCAGAAACACAGATCTGGACTCAGACACACAAACATGTCAGGAGAAAAAAATATATATTATAAAACATGAAGTCAGTGAACAATTCAGTGAAAAAACTGCCTCAGAATAAGAGTTTAAAGATTTTTTTTTTCAATCTTTTTTTATTTGGAGTTGAAGAATCATTTTCTATAATGATAGCCTCATGCGTAAACAGATGTTCCACCTTAAAAACAAATGTACTACTAAATAATATATATATATAAAGACAGGGGGAGAAATTACAAACGGAGAAATTTTGCAGGTTTTTAAAATCAAATGCTTTTTTTTTACATCCACACTCCATTTTTTTTTTGCACATCCCAGGCATTTTAGGTGCAACATTCATCCTCTCACTAAACCACTTTTCTCGTTATGTGCTAAAAAGACTTGACGCGTGATTGAGTCCAGAGGCAGAGTTGTGGCAGTGATCATCACAGGGGGTTGTTTATGGTCTGAAAGGTTAATTATTGTTCTTTTATCTGTTTTTTTACAGAAGCGGTTTACTTCAATTGCCATCATGGACTCCCACTGCCGCAAACTGGCCACCACCTGCGCGCAAATAGGTGAGTGTGTGATCTCTGTGTGTTATTTATTTTGAGCACTTAAAGCCTCTATAGAATAAATACGATTAAAAACGTTTTTCTATATAAGATTAAAAATTGGAAGAAAAAACAATAATACTCCACTTTATTTAATATATAAAATCATGTTAGTTGTCTTGGATTTTCGTTCATCTGTTAAACTGGAATTAGGTTAAAGCTACAGATTTTAATTTACTGCATTTCCCCCTCTCTAGAAATGTCCAAAAAATCCAACCTGACCTTTTTTAAAATCTAATTAGTTGTTTATGTTTAGAAAAATTACTCACTCACGTTCATTAATTGTTCACAGAACCCTAAAAACTTTTTGCTAAAACATAAAAAATATTCCTGCTTTTATTCCCTGAAACTGCTGCTGGCTTTCTCACACGTTTAATTTTCTTTCACTCTTTGCTTTCTTTCATCTTTTTTTGGATTTACAGTCTGGTATCAGATTAAAAAAGATGCTCTAATCTGATTTTTGTAGTGTGTGTCACCGGTTTTGTTAAGAAAAGTCCAGTTATTCCTGATATTTTGGCCTCTTTGCTCATCAGTGCTGTGGAGTAATAGGAGGTGATCAGGTTGTTTGCTGTGTTAGAGTGACACCTGGTGGTCGAATGTGGAATTGCACACAAACCTCTCAGGCCATTAAGACGAAGATTTGATGAGTTATGCAGTCATTTTGTTTGAATTCTGCCATGAAAACCTCTTGGTTATAACAAATTGGAAAATTACAGAGAGGAGGAAAAATTTATGTGATTAAAAAATAGTATTTTACATTTTTGATTTGCTCGGTAACTCAGTTGGAATAAAAACTCTAACAGGAGACGGCACAAAATCTGGAAATCCCTTTCCTGGGATTTATTAATTATTCTCCAATGTTTGTGTGGAAATAACATCAAGTCCAGTTAGGATCTTAAATGAATAACCAATACCTCTCATTCTGCTTCGTTTAGCCACCATTGACGCGCCCGTGTGGCAGAGGGCAATGTGAACGACCATTGATTAAGAATAATAAGATAATAAGATATAGACAGCAGCAGCAGCAGCAGCAGCGTACACTGTTGTCGCTGTAATATATGCAGCGCTTGTTGGATTGACTCCGGGGAAAACTCAAAGTATAATGAAAGCCCATTCGTGAGCAGGAATATACTAATGGAGGAATCTGATGTCTCCTTAATCCTATGTAAAAAGCCTTGTCGTCTCCCCCCTATATTGACTGAATTGCTAATTAATGGCCCTCTATGGCGGAGGCCTATTGCGCGCGGTAATCCGCAGAAGAGAGATAAAGCATTCAGAAGGTAGAAATGAAGAGGAAAGCGATAATCCACTTCAAGTTTAGTATTAAAATACGACTGCAGGAAAGAAAAGGAGCAGCAGACTCATCGCTGCTGGGCATACAATAACTGAACACACAGGAAAAGGTTGTTTATTTACGGCTGGTTTTAATAAAGAAGCGCGGTTTTTCTTAAAGGAGCAATTTATTTTTTTCCACGCATGACTTTTAAATTGATCGTAATATTCCCATTAACAATATATTTTACTAATTAGAAATAATTACAAGTTTCTACATCGAGAAAGAAACTTATTATTATTATAAAAACGAAAAATTCAAATTCTAAACATGGATGTCTTCAGTGTCCAAACAAGGGTTTATCGCTCCATGTGAGAGATGATTGGCTGTTCAGCTTTGATTAGAAAAAAAATATCTTCCCTCCCTCAGTGTGTGTGTGTGTGTGTGTGTGTGTGTGTGTGTGTGTGTGTGTGTGTGTGTGTGTGTGAAGTCTATGGTTCCTCTGCTGGTATTTATATATCAGGGGCTTTCACGGGATTAGCCCAGTAACTTCTTAACATCGCCAAGTCCAAATGTGCCGGCTGAGTGGGGAGTCCGGCTGCCCACGTGGACATGGGAAGTGTGTTATTATATGATGAGGATGATTATGGGGATGCAGGCCTGTTGTATGTACACTAAATAGCCAGAACTTCATCAAAGTTGACAGTCATTTTTCACCTCTGATTGGCGCGCGTTTCTCCTCCATTCATTCCATCTCTCCAGTCACCTGTTACCCAGCTGACATTTCTCCACCCTCAAACTCCCACCCTCAAAAAATTAAACTCGCATTTGTTTGATTAGACGTGTTTACTTTCCTCCGAACGTGTCACAATCTTTGGGGAATTATAGGTTAGAAAAAAAGTGCCGGCGTATCAGGCTCAAACTCATTAAAAGTCCTCCTTCAGAAATTCTTAAGCAAATGAGAGTCTTATCAGATTAAAAAAAACACTACAGGAGAGCTGGATGAGGGGTCCAAACGCGAAGTGCGGATGGAGATCCAGTTAAGCACCCAGATAAAGTAATCCGTCGTCAACAAACTGAGAGTGCTCCGGTGGGGTTGATTTAATGGATATTTGAACCCGAACTCTGAGGAGATCAGGAGGATCGCCTCATTTGACAACTGGTATGACTGACGAGGTTTTTCCTGCGCGTGTCGGCTGTGCACGCGAGGATGCAGGGCATAGTAAACCACTGAGTCAGTTTGGTTATATACTTGGACTTTACTATGAAAACGCACTAAGAGGTATCCGGGTTTGCAGTGCGCAAACGTGCGTAAAATCTGGTTATTGGTGCTTGTTGACTCAATGATTTAAAGGCCTATTTGTTCTTTTTATTTCTGCTGCTGTGGTGTCTCGGAATAATATGTCACTTTGAATAGTAAACCCCTGAGTCAGTTTGGTTATTTACTCGGACTAGAATATGAAAATGCACTGATAAGTGTCCAGTATTGCAGTGCGCAAACGTGCGTAAAATCTGTTTTTTGGTGCTTGTTGACTCAATGATTTTAAGGCCTATTTTTTCTTTTCTTTTCTTCTGCTGCTGTAGTGTCTTGGAATAATAATATGTCACTTTGAAAAGCCTGCATCGCCGTGAAGGCTTGCACCAGTTGCACATGTGCTCCTTTTAACATACTGCACATGTCTGGCAGTTAGCGTCAGTTGACAAGTGCGCACAGACACTTTTGGAGCAGACTGGCACATCCCTCCATTTATTCTCTTCCTCCTGCGCCCTCGCTTTCAAAGAAAGAATCACTGTGCTGTGGTGGTGGGTTTCTGTGTTTGCACTGTGCATATTTCTTTCATACAGCCTTCAATACAATCCGCTCGGTGGCTCGCTTTATCCACATTGAGTCCCTGAGTAAACTGCGGTGACAGAGCCTGCAAGCACGCGGCTCAGTCTGGGTATCAATAGAACGGCTTCGTTTTACTGGGCCACTGGACCCATCTCATAAAATGAGGCCAAACTGTGTTATTTTCATTTTTATTTGGTCTTGGGCTGCTGCGCAACTGCAGCTCGGAGCGCCGCGGGTACACCGTGCGTCCCATCTCTCTTTACATGCTTTTATTTGGAAGAGAAAAAATAAGCGCCAGAGCCGGCATAAACACATTGGCACACATATCTCGTTTCTGTATGCTCCGGTTGGTTGCTCCCACCGTGGATGTGCCTGTCAGAGATGGGCGGGCGCAACATGGTGACGTGGAGGTCTAGAGAAGCGCTGTTGGACAGTGTGCAGGCAACAGCTGAAATGAACAGAGCGGTGGAGTGTGTGTATGCCTCTGGATCTAATATCACCTACCTGTCCTTGTCACTCTGATAGTCAGCCGAGGTAGCCGCTGTTTACAGCCGATGCTATGGCAGCACTCAGTGGTCTATTTTAAAGCGATTTCCAGTTAAACCAGAAAGAGGGAACCGCAGCAGGAACGGCTCAGCTGTGCGTCTTTTTGGACAACTGAACACATTCCGCAGACGGACTTTCCGCCCATCCTCGCTGATCTAAAGGAGACTAATCTGCTTTTGACAGACAGTTTTGCGATCTTTTACCCATGAACTCTATGAGGGATCCATTAAACATAGACCATCACCACCTAACAGGGAATAAACTCGCCTCCACGCACCACACGGCTCTGGCGATGGCCTCTAGTTTACAGCCGCTGCAGCGGACGGTGGACTCTAAACACCGGTTAGAGGTGCACACGGTGTCGGACACATCGAGCCCAGAGTCAGTCGGTAAGAACCGCGCGTGGTGCAGACATTCCCAGCAAGGCGAGGGAACAGATGTCGCCCTGCTATCAAAGAAAAGATGGCTCCAATTAATCAGGATATATGGTGTTTTACATGCGTCTAAATAAGGGAAGTCAGCTGTCATTTTACGCAAAGATAATTAGTTTTGACAGTGGCTCGTGTGTGGTGAGGGAGTGAAAAGTTTCTGTGCTATGCAAATGAAAGACAGCTTGTCAGTGTCAACAGGAATTAGTCAGATATATAACTGATATCTCCGGTGTCAGATGAAACTATAAGGTCAGCTTAGAGCTCATAGGAATAAAAATGAAATAATGGGGAGTGTGCGTGGCTCATTTTAGCGTTTTATCCACAGAGAAGTCTGACCGTGAGAAGCTCAGCCATGTCCAAACAGTCTCACTGATCCAGGAGTCTTTTTTTCTCCCTCCTTTCTATAGAACACAGGCCCTAATCCTCCTGTCCCTGACTTCACTTCTCTCCCCCTTTTGACAGAAAAAGAAAAGATCCAGAATAAAAACGACGACTCCTCAGATGACCCGTCCAAAAAGAAGCGGCAGCGGCGGCAGAGGACTCACTTCACAAGCCAGCAGCTGCAGGAACTGGAGGCCACTTTCCAGAGGAATCGCTATCCGGACATGAGCACGAGGGAGGAGATAGCTGTGTGGACCAACCTCACAGAGGCCCGGGTCAGGGTGAGTACTCCCTAGGGTGCATTCAGAAACAACTCCTGTGTTGAATTTCGGGTAATTTGTACGGACTGTCCGGTTCACCTCAAACTACCGTGTACCTTGATGTTTTTACGCACAGACGCAAACTTTACGCACGGCTGATACGCCCCTGAAGACGGTGTTTGACACAGTTTTTAGCTGCAAAATAAATAATCAGAATCTTGTTTAAATAAACGAGCTCAAATTCATTAGATAGGATGTGTTTATCTGTGAGCCTAAAAATAATTCTAAGCCTCTGCACACAATACTAAATAAACAGCTCTGCCAAACGCTGCTTTGTGATTCTCGGAACATTTTTAATCTTTTCCGTAATTTGATTGTAAAACTGAGAAGAAATCGACTTTTTTATTTGCTCATTAGGTGTAATTACACATTATTAGGGTTGTTAACAGTTGAGGGTTTTGACTCCGTTGGTGGCAGATACCAGTCATGTTCCTCTGTTCGTGTGAAAGAGGTGCAAAGCTTGTATTTTGCGATTGTCGCCCTGGTGTTGTGTGATTAAGGTCAGCAGAGGAATACACATCCTCTCCACTTAAAGATGGTGCAGTGACAGCGCGGTGTGTATTCAGTGCTGATAAACACGGAATCAAAGCAGGGGAGTTGTCTGTGCAGAAATCAGTGGATGGATTCACACACAAGTTTCAACTGTTTGGATTTTTTTATGTGGAATTTTTTACGCATTAAGTTAAAATTTAAAAAATCCGCAAATGGAGCTTGTACAGATTTTGCACTGTAAGGAATTTGACGTCTCTGTGAGGAAAATGTTCAAGTCAAAATTATTTTCTAACCTTTCCTTAATTTCTTTGTCCCAGGTTTGGTTCAAAAACCGGCGAGCCAAGTGGAGGAAACGGGAAAGAAACCAGCAAGCCGAGCTCTGCAAAAACGGCTTCGGCCCGCAGTTCAACGGACTCATGCAGCCCTACGAGGACATGTACCCCAGCTACACATACAACAACTGGGCCGCCAAGGGCCTCACGTCGGCCTCTTTATCCACCAAAAGTTTCCCTTTCTTCAACTCCATGAATGTCAACCCCTTGTCCTCGCAGACCATGTTCTCGCCGCCAAACTCCATATCCTCCATGACTTCCAGCATGGTGCCCTCGGCGGTGACGGGCGTGCCGGGCTCCAGCCTCAACAGCCTCAATAACTTGAACAACCTCAGTAACCCGTCCCTCAACTCGGGGGTGCCCACGCCGGCGTGTCCCTACGCGCCGCCGACCCCTCCTTACGTGTACAGGGACACTTGTAACTCCAGCCTGGCGAGCCTGAGACTGAAAGCAAAGCAGCACTCGAGTTTTGGATACGCCAGTGTGCAGAATCCGGCCACTAATCTGAGCGCTTGCCAATACGCCGTGGACAGACCAGTCTAATACCTACCTGCACTGCAAAAAATCACCCCCTTAACACTTCATTAGAGGCTGCTTTAAGTGTTATTTTTCCTCTAAAAGGGAGGGAGCGAGTCTGGCTGGGAGATAATTGTATTTCTCGTGTGTTTTGGGGAAATTTCTTGATCATATGGCGTTTTTTTTTCCAATACTAGTCTGAGCGTGATTTGCATTTTCTGACTTTATTAAAAATTAAGCCACTTGTTCCTCGAAAATTCCCAAACACGCCAAGAAAAAAGTGACGTTATTCCAAAGCACATGTTGATACTTTTATTTGGAAATGGGGGAGTCGATCAGATTCTGAAGCCCAGATGACTTGTTTTGGTGGCCATTTTTTGCAGTGTGTGGGTAATTACAAACAGCCGGCCACAGGAACAAGAGACTACTACAGCTACTTTTTTCATTTTTTTCTTTTTTGTTTTCAAAAAAAAGGGCACTAGAAGACTGAACCACTGAAGCAAGCTCACCTCCAGCTCGGAGCACCAACTGAAACGGGAGATTTTTTCGCTTTAAGCCCCTGTTTTTTTGACGAGCACAGGCCTGCTTCACTGTCAAGAAAAAAACAGGCTGTTTTCATTTTTCAGAGCTCGTCAAGGAGGGTCTGTTTTTCTCTTTTCTTTCTCTGGTGGATTTTTGGACGTTAATTGTTGACTGAAAAAAAAGGTTGTATATATATATTTGACTTCTCATCTCCTGTTTTTGTCGAGGCGAATGCGCTATAACCCTCCAAGTCCTCTCCAGGTTCAATTTATCAACGCATGTGGAAGAAGAAGAAGAAGAAAAAAAACCCTTAAAAGGAATCATGTTTTGCTTGCAAACAAAAGGGAATGTACATACTAAAACGCACCAGTTGTGTGTTTCTAACATATTATAAATTTATTATTAATGTCTGTGTGAATATCGATTTAGAATAGCAATTCTGGATTTAAAAAAAGAAGAAAAAAAAAAAGAAAGAAGCATCAAAAATGTTCCTGCGACAGATTATTTGGTTTTTGCTCTGTGTATACTATTTGGTACGGAATTATGTTTTTTTTTCCAACATCCAAAAAAACTATTGTGTTTTATTTAATGGAAGTAAATATATTGTTGAAAACACTCTTCTGATGGGGGGCTTTTATTGAATCTTTGTGTTAGTGGTGTGTTAGCGGAGTGTAAAGCAATGACATGTCTGTCGATTATGTGAGGTACTTGTGCGCCTAATCTATAGAGGAAAACAATGGGCCGCTCCAATACACATAGCGCCAACAAGAGCGAGATGCTCCGCCAGATTAACTGCTGAATACATGTCTGCAGCTCAAAGAGGCTCGGCTGGTCACTGGGGCTTGAAATAACACGAGGAATCAACAAACAAAAGAGCTGGACCACACAACAGTGACATGAGTCCATTAGGGTTGTTTTTGTGCTCTTGTGTTGTGTTAGATCTCACACTTTTGAGTGGGATTATTAGAAAACAAGCATATTTTAACACTCGAATTAAGAGATTTGATAGGGGATTTGCAGAAATTCAAATGTTACCGCCAAGTTTTCTTAAATTACCGGATTATTCTTAAATTTAAATGTTTTTCCAGGAATCTAATCCATCTTTACGCGCGTTTGCCTTTACATTGTCTCTTCCTCTTGATACCTGGCACTTCTTTTTTAAATGACCAGATTATTTTTAAATTTACCACCATTTATTTGAGGTATTTTCTACCATATTTAGTCTAAACTCGTGTCTCCTGATCTGTTGTGCCAGAAATCTAATCCATCTTTACGCGCATGTTTGCCTTGACATCGTCTCTTCCTTTTGATACCTGGCACTTTTTTAAATAACCAGATTATTTCTAAATTTACTACAATTTATTTGAAGTGTTTCTCTTACACACCCGCTCCTCCTGATCTTTCGTGCCAGGAATCTAATCCATCTTTACGCGAATGTTTACCTTTACATCGTCTCTTCCTCCTGATACCTGGCGCTTCTTTTTTTCCTCCCCTTAATAAGACACGCTTTTTATTGCGTAAATCATCCAAAAGAAAAACAAAGCTACGGTCCAAGGAAACTATGATTCACAAGCTTGAGCAAACAGGCGCGCACCGGAGAGATACAGAGGTATGTAGGCCGAGGTTGGGCAGGCGGGCTGCAGGAGGAAGAAGGAGGCGGGGGACGAGTGCTGCTTCACGGCTGCAGGGAGAGAGGATGAACCGGGGAGGAAATAATAACAACAAGACCCCCGAGCAGAAGCGAGAAGTTGAGCAGAAATAGAGCAACTTCCCAAGAGAGGAGGTTTGCAGGCTAATTTGATATTTGAGCACATAGTAATGCACTTTTCACATTAAATTAAAGGAATAGTCTGTCAAATATGGCCGCCCCTGTGAAAGAGCTGGTGTAAGATTTAATGTCATGTTAAGAGGCCTCATGTCATCCCAAGAGAGGAGACAGAAATCACAGTCAGCCCCGAGTGTTTGGACAAAAACGACTCAATAACAAACTCTACAAAAACACCTCTGTTCTCCTTTTACATGTATGAATACATCTGATTTTCGGAGCTGACCTCCTGACCCTCCCCACAATTAGATTCCCACCACTTAAAAAAAGCAAAAGCACGAGAGGCACCTTTTTTTTTTTTGATGGAGTCTGTAACGCGGACTAATAATCAGCTGACAGGGAGGATAAGCTTCGGCTGCTGTAAGAGGCGAATACGCAAGTCTGCTGCCTCAATACACATCCACACAATCAACAACAAGAGAGCAGAGGATGACCTGAGGAGAGAGGAGAAGAGGAGAAGAGGAGGAGGATTCAGAGGGAAATGTTCATTTGGCTGAAAGGGCGCCAAGGACTACACACCTCTGGCCTCTCGTCTTCTCTCCAGCCTGGACAAGGTAAGAACTTGGAGGAAAACATTAGACTTTAAGATACTATTACTGCATGTTCTCGTCTCTCAGTCTGCACACGATTTTCCTAAATTTATATTCAAAGCAAACCTATTGAAAGTCTAAAACTACACGCTCCCCCTGCGTAATAATGGCACCTGACAAACATACATAATAAACGTTCCGAGCATGTGGCCTTGTTCATGTTTCAACAAAGACACAATTATCAGTCTCTGTTCAAACCAAATTTTCGTCTCATTCCCTGAATCCATTTTCGGACACATAAAACACTCTGCTACATCTTAATGTGAGATTTGTTCCGCCGGATGATTAAAACCAAAAATCCAATGTTGAGAGCACACACACACACACGCACACGCACATACACACACGGTTCGCCTCCACCTCCACCTCCACACTGCACTCTCTCCACCGGGAATTCAAACACACAGCGAGGAAGAGCAAATATCCAAACATGAAGCGTTACACCTCCAATCTAAATAATTAACAGTCTCTCAGCGTGGAGTTCAGACGACACTGGAGACGCTTTGGAAATAATAATAATTCTGCATGCCAATATCAGGGAGCATGTTTCCTAATTACACGCTTGTGATAGTGAAGCTCGGGATTTTACTGTTGTGATTTCATGAAACGGTGGTTTTTTTTATCTCGCAGAAGTTGCTTGTTTTGTCGGAATAAAACTTGACGATTACAAAAACAGAGTCAATTTGGATTCAGGACATTAAGAGCGTAGAAATGTGATTTTTTGCATGCAAACATACGGACTGATTGACGCTCTGAGGTGGATAATAAACGCTTAAAATCATAAAATAGTCGTTTTAGTGCATGTATAGCCTGCTTAATTAAATATCCCATTTAAAGTACTGCTAGTGTAAGCACATCTCACAATATTTACACGTTAGTGAGGCCAAAAGTTGCTTTTAAGTTTTTTAGAAAATCCGTTTGCACGTTTTAAAAAGCAAGGTTTGTCAATTGGATTTGACTAAAAATAACTAAACATCATCTAAGGATGTCACAATTTAGAGGGACTTTGCCAAAATTGCATTCAAGACATATATGCAATTACTTTTTGCTGAATTTAGAGGTTTTTATTCAAGTGAGCAGAGTTTCTAGGCTGTGTTTTTTTTTTTTTACCATATCCTAAATGTCAAACAGCATGGGGCTTTCTGAGTCATGGATGGAGAAGAGTAAAACACAGGTTTTGCATGGTGGTGGCTCTGATCAATAGTTTATTTTTGATGTGAACAGTGATGCAACAGGCTTGAATTAAATCATAGCTGGAGCTCAAAAGAAGCAGCTTTAAAACTGAAAGATTAGGACTTTAAATTTAAAAGAGAGACTTTATTGCCACTAAAACACTTAGACATTAATGTAATACAGAATATAATATAGTCTGTGTCACCTGCATGATGCACAACTGCGTGTAGATATGCAGAAGAATTAATGCGAGAACACTTGTTCTCCCTCCTCAAACAAACCTGCTTATATATGTGTGAAAATGTGTCTAATAAGGTATTTTATTCGAGATAAAACTTCATCTATGTGTGTCTAAAAAATTCAACTACAGCTACAGAGTCTACCTATAAACACAGCTCTGCACTTTGCACCAGGAGTGCAGCAGAGAGAGAGAGAGAGAGAGAGAGAGAGAGAGAGAGAGAGGGAGAGGGAGAGGGAGAGGGAGAGAGCTGCCGTCTTTCTGGGGGAGGTGGGTGCTCCAGGGTTTGGGGGGGTTTGGCTCCAGACCAATAGCAGCCCAGCGGCTTCAGCTAAAGGTCACATGGTGTGACCTCACACATTCTCACCCTCACCTAAAGGCCCCGGGAGAAGTTCTCCATAACAAGATACAGGACAGTCCATTTCAGCCGAGGTCTTAAATAAACCTCAAAGTTCATCGGACCTGGACGGCTGTTTCAACCACAAAATTATGTAAAATAAGCACAAAAAAAGTATCTTTTGATTTAGAGCAGCAAGATTTTGATTTGTTTGAAAACTTTGTAAGACAAAAAAGAGATTTATTTGTCTCTGGGTTAGATTTTTAAGTGGGATTTGAGTGAAAATGTTGCTTTGATGGTGTTAATTTATACGCACTCTTCACCAAAAAAAGGTGCAAACTCGCGAGTGTTTGTTGCGTGCGTTTGTGTCGTGGATCTTGCGTGTGGATCTCCCCTAGCGTGTACGCATGTGTGTATCCCTCCCTCTCACTGTGGGGGCTCGGTGCTGTTTGAGGGCAGGCGGCTGGCCAGAGCGTGTGAAAGCAGATAACCAGGGAGAATTTTCATGACGCACACACTTCCTGCTCTCTGAAGTTCTATTAAAGAAAGATGAAAACAAAACACACATCTGAGATGTTTTCTCTCCAAATCAATTTCGACACATTAAGCATGCTGAAAAAGATCAGCGGCACGGCTCTCATGGACCTTGAAATAGTGAGGAAGACGAGGAGGAGGGGATGATCCATCAGGAGAGATTTGTGCATTTATGTGATACAGGGGAAAAAAACAAGAACCTTGAAATGGTTAAGATATCTTTAAAGATACATGTAACCTGGTGGCGTGTTGAAGGGTTTGACACTGAATCCTAGCTGGTGTAGATCACAATCTGGATCACCTAAAATGTTAATGCGAGGATGTAAAATAGGAGAGAAAAGGCACCAAAGAGACTTTTCTGAGAGCTTAAACAGCACTTCTGTTCCTGCAAAGCTCTCACGAAAGAAGAGCGGGGACTTCCTCTGGATTATTTAGCATTATTGCTAAATGTGGAAGATCTCCAATCCTCCATGTTTGCTCCACAGAGCACAGATTTTGATATGAGACAACCTTCTTACATCGAATTTCACAAGGAAAACCCCAAATTATGCAGAATAAGGAGTCTGCAGGAGGACGATCCGTCTAAAGTCCCCTTCATGCCCCTTCATGTTAACCCGACGTGTCTAAAGCTGCTAACATTTTAGCCATATCTGCAGCATCGTGTTCAGACACCTTCAGTTTACACAGTCTGCCCCAGATGGCATCTCTCAGCGCTGTTTTCTTTGTGCCTGTCATCTACTGTAACGTCTTAATTGACGTTTACCTCTGCTGGCTCGCTGTCAGCCACCCAGAGTCTGAGTCTGAGGAGAAGCCTGGCTGAACGGTTTCCCAGGCTCCTGCTCCAGGTAGAAAATTACACCTGAGCACTTCTGTTTGTTTTTTTTTTCCTCCTCCTTTGTTGTTCCTTGAAGTCCAATTTTCCCTCCAAACACAGAGTGAATTACAAAACGCTCAGGCTGTATTACAGTATAAGTGTCTACTTCATGCTCTCATGTGATCTGTGTTACATCAATGACGAACTTTCCACATCAAAACTTTTCTGCATGGTGGCAACGACGCTAAAAAGAGAAGTTTATTAATCGTACAGTTTGAAGTTAAAGAAGTTTCTGTGATTTCCGTGCCGTTAATCTCAATATCTTGACACTTGAACGCACCAAAGTGTAAAACATCCGGTTTTTCGCTCAGATGAAACAAAACCCCAATCCCTGTCAGATTTAATGTCACACTCATTACTAATCGGACCCTCCAGCTGTAGAAATATGGCATCCACAGGCATAAAATCTACCACATTACAGAAAACATTACGTTATTCATCCCGGTAATGAAATCTTCAACTTTCCTCAATTCAGCCTCCAAACTCTGATTTGCTGGAGTAATGAGGAAACTGCGGGAGGTTGTATGGACAGGATTTAAAGGTACAGTGTGTAGAAATATTTAGCAATACCTAGCGATTGAAACACTCCCCTGCTCACCCCTCCTGTTGGTGAAGCAACGGTGGCCTGTGAGGACAAGAAACTCCTGTGATGTATGATAACTCTGATTCTCCATTTCACAAGTTTTCTCTGACTAAATATAAAAATATGTACAACCAAGCAAACCGATTTTCATATTTGGGTTTTCTCTTCACATTAAATCAAAGATATCTTTGAATGTGATATTTCACTTCTACCTGGTCTGTTCTTGTGTTAGATTATACTAAATACTCTACACTGCACCTTTAGCTGATACAAATGAGGTCTTTTTGGCAGCAGTGAATCAAAAATAAAAGTGTTATCATCCATGCTGATAACTTGTGGTGGAGTTTAAAGCATAGACTGTATATACGGACAACTTGGTTCCACCTCCTGCCTGTATACGGATTTAAAGCCAAAAAGCTCTCGGCTGCGATTTTTCCTCATTTCCTGAAACCAACATCGCGCAGTAGCGTTGTACGCATTCAGCGGGAGAGTCGCCGAGAGTCGCTGTGATGAAGCGTATCCCCCGTGTGAGCTACGCAATCTTCGTACGCTCATAGGCTGTATCAAGTGTCAATCAAAGAAAACATGAACCCCCTAATAATTTTTAAAAATGGAGCTTCACAGAAAAAAGAGGACTTGAGCACGAACTAGTCTTACAATAACTACATGTCAACATCACAAGCAGTGGGAAAAAAATTTATGTTCTGTGTAATTAATTTCTAAAGTTTGTCCACAGCTCCATCAGCTTTGCTGGCGGAGGCAGCCCGTCAACAGAGGGTGCTGTTCTCAGAGTGGCTTCACCCAGCGAGGAGGCAGACGCTGTCCATTCTACATACAGTCTATGGTTTAAACTCAATAACCACAGAGCAGGGTGGCCAATAGCTAATCCACAGCGCCAATATCATGTTATTTCTTTGCATTTGATAAAATAGGCGACAACAACTGAATGACAACTTCTGAGAAACAAGTCCTGTATATGAAAGTCTAATATACATGGTTATCTTAGCCAGTAACATGTTTGAGATGGTTTTTAACAATTTCATGAAACAGAAAAATAATTTGATTTGAGAACATGACAGATATTTATGCAGGTAAACAAAATTAAACTACATTATTTTATAAATCATAATGAAGTTTCTGTAATGGTTTTAGGTTGGATATTCAGTCATTTGGGATGGAAAAAAATTGTAAAAGTTGATTATCAATTAGCATCATTTAGCATAATGCTACGGAGCTCTGGCACGGGCCCAGGGCTCTTAACAATTCCACGGCCTCAAAGCATATTTCAGTGTTTACATTTTATGTTTGTTTTTGACAGGATAGGATGGTAGATTGCGTGAGGGGAGTGACATGCAGGAAAAGAGCCACAGGTCCAAATAAAACATGTGATCACACCTTAACCTCTCGGTCACCGGCGCCTCCCTGAAGTATATTTTTATAAGTTTACGTCTATTGACATACTTAGTTACAAGCCAAATAGCCAATCTCAACAAACAAACATATTAAAAAAACAACTTTATTCACTCTTATTCAGCAGCCCACTCATATCCCGTATACTGTCTATCAGGTGATTGGAGCCTGGACAGCAGCACTGATGCAGCTGCCTGCAGTGTCTGCAGACATCAGTCGGTTTTATGAACTGCAGTTACTCTCAGAAAGACATTAGTCAGCCTAATTAATTGGTCTGCTTAAAACGCCTGTGTTTTACATAACTATCTGCTCATGCATATTAAAACAAACAAAAGTATATTATAATTATCGATGCAGTGATGCGAGTTATCCTGTATAGCATGTACTGCAGGTAAGGTTATGTAAGAGACTGTATGTAAGAGGCACGTTTGTTTTAATTAAGTTCAGTTTTCTTTCTCTCAGGCTTATGATCATGACTTCTATCCCTGATGTTTGAAAAGCACAAATAATACATGAATAAAAGGTAGATTTGAGGCTTGGATGTCCTTGTAGTCCAAGCACCCCACATATAGGACTGTCGTACTCATCTGAGCAGTTGACGGTTTGATTTCCAGCTGTGACCCTTTCCCATATGTCTTCCCTCACTCTCTGTCCTCCATGTTTCCTGTCTCTCTTGGGTTGGCTTCTCCAATAAAAGGCAAAAATGTCTGAAAATATAACTTAAAAAAAAAAAAAAGGTTAACTTAAAGACTTGGACCACAGTTTGCATTACACTGCACTGGGATAAAACACATTTCAAACATACAACAAGACAACAACTTCATGAAATCCATGCAGTTGGCTTTCTAACTTTACAAACAAGTATTTAGGAATATTTTTGACACGTCTGATTGCGCAGCTTGAGGATAAACTGAAGGGAAACTTCAGTCTTGCAAACTAGCTTTAAAAAAAAAAAATGCCCGATTTAGTGCAAGAACAGATGAAACTGTTTTCTGTGTTTTTAAAATGTTAGATTGAGCCATGTGAACAAAATTTATACAACCTTACGCCCTTTAGTTCTAAAATAAATCTTCCAGATTTGCACAGTATGCTTTTTATCGCTCTGTACTTCAGCAGGCTGCCATCTTCTACTTAAGCCTTCCCTGGAAGTATAATCTGAAAAAATTGGCTTAATGGCAAATTAAATGAATAAATCTGCACTTTATTGGAGGCTTGTACAACACTTGAGACTTCAGACACACACTCCTGTTTGAAACGGAGCATTGCTTGATAAGAAAAAGTGAAATGATAACTGATGATATCTATGTTGAGTTAATGTCAGAGAGAGACAGCGAGTGCAGGGCAGTCGTATCAAACACTCCCTATTATTAAACACAAGTTGGCTTTTGTTTTTACTGCTCGGAAACATTCTCACACAGACAAACGGTGCATTCTAACTGTATCCTCATTGTTGTATTAAACAGGGACAGTTCCAGCAGTTTGTGGTTTCCAGTCTGCGCCGCACAACAACCAGTTCCTCCAACAGTATCCAGTCCTACGAGCTCGGCCTGTTCAGCCACTGTGTGGTCAGCTGAGGTATGACAAATTCATATCTCACATGGATAATTGCTTTCCTTTTAAAGCCGGATGATGATGGTCTGATTGGCAACAATATAATGCTGTTATTGCAATTTGTAATTTAACTCGCCATCCCTGAACACACCCAGGAGCTAAACAGCGTATGCAGGTTCGTTTTTCAGCCGTTTTAAACACAAAGACACAGAAACTGTCAGATTATGTCTGAATCAACTCTGTTTTAAAGCAAAAACACAACGATTAATCGCTTTCTCACAGGTTTATTGTTAATTAAGAACCTTTTATACACTTTAATATGATTTTTAATGGTTTGTTTTAATGGGAATAGAGAGTGGAGGATGTCATACAGTGAAGGGTTACTGGCAGCGACCATCGCAGTGAAGACTACAACTTCTGCACCTGAGAATACAGTGTTTTATCTTTTATCTTTATCTTTTATCTTTCATCCGTCATCTCTTTTACCTCTATCTTATTTCGGCTTTTCTGTCTTTTTAGCTTTTGTTTTACTTGTACTCTTTTCTTAAATAACCTTTTCGGCCTTTTATCGTTTTATCTCTTGCTCATTTCTGTTGCTCTATTTTATCATTACTATTATTATCAGTATTGCCTTTCATTATTTTATTACCATTGTTGATATTGCCTTTTATATTTACTATCCTGTTTCCGCTCTCAACCCCCTTTTAATTGCATTTTCTTTTTTCTTCACTATTTTATGTTTGTATTTTGGTCCTCATGGTCTCATTTTATGTCGCATGGTTCTTGTATTGTCTGGGTTCCTTTGACAATTCCATTTTAACTGATGTTTTTGTTTTTATCTCTCTTTTTCCATGTGCTCTATGACTTTATGTCAAAGCACTTTGTAAACTTCTGTTTTTAAAAGTGTTATACAAATTAAGTTATTATTATGATAAACCTAGAGTACACTTAAACCAGTGGACAGACTTAGTGCCCCTTGTTTTATTTTTAAATCTGTTTTTCTAGATGTATTTTTTTCAAACCACATTTTAATGTCAGGTTCATGTCAGCGAAATCTTTTGATAACACAGGTTTCGTTTCGGACAAGACTCCCTCCTGACACCCCTCAAATACTTTATCTCTATTGGCACACAAAGACATGACAGACGAAAGCCTTTCAGTTGCTGGAGTGCTATCCTAACTGGCATTTTGTGGGCACCAACGTTAATAAACTTGACAAAGGAGGATTTTACTGGTCATGCATCATAGCGGCTTCTTGTCCTCGAAGGCCACCATACCTTTACCAATGGTAGGGGTGAGCAAGGGAGCATTTAAGTAATAACTCTACTTTTAACTTTTATCATGATGCACATAGGACTGGGCGATAAAATGATAACAATATATATCGAGAATTAATTTCCGTCAATATCAATATAAAATATGGTCTATACGCTTTTCGATAGTCGGCATTCTGCCATGTTTTGGTAGACTATACGAATAGCCAATGAAAAGGGGAGTTTCTGTGGGTCGGCTTCGCACTGAACCAATCATGTGCTGAATTAGAACCAAGTAGCAAACAACTGCGTAGTAGCAGACTGCAGCTACACGCAACCATAGCACTTGAACTCTGAAAACAGACGACCATTTAGTTCGTTTTCTCTAGCGCAAAGCCTTACAACGAAACGTTACAGAGACACACAGACCTCACAGATGCAGTAGCTTATTTTATTGCAAAAGACATGCTACCAATAAGCACTGTTAAATTTCATGAAATATATCATTATCGACTGATATGAAAAAATGTATCGTGATAAACTTTTTCCCATTTCGCCGGGGAAAAACAAGCATAATTTTCAGGAATCCTCTCTCTTGCTTTAAGGTAGCAGGAAACACTGGTTCAGAGTTTTTTCTCTGTCCACCAGTCTTACCAATATTGCCGGTTGTCTTAGCTTAGCTCAATTAAGCACTAAGACTGGAATTGAGGGAAAATGTCAAGATGGTTTTGTGCAAAGATGTTCTCCACCTCATTGCTAATCTGTAAATCCCTTTGAGAGATTAAGTAATTTCATAAATATTCAATAAAAGTGTGGATGGATGTTGACATAACTGAACCAGCTTTTGTCAACTTAGTTAGCTAGCTAAGCTAACTGCCTTCAGCCTCGTATAACTAGTAGAGACCTGAGGGTGTCTGTGTCCCTGTCAAAGCTTTAAATAATGTCCAAAAACATAAAAAGCAGAATAACAAAAGAAAAGCAGCGGGAAATATTATTAAGTGGAAGGGTTTCCATGTGTCTTTTTCCTCATGTGTTTATCTCAAACATCGACTATAACCTCTGTAAATATGAATACCACATACAAACAGCAGTGAACGCTGAACAGTAAAATAAGAAGCTACCTCATGTAGGGAAAGGAAGCCAACACTCCACCTGGTGTACCTGTTGGCTCCACTCATCCAGCCTACTGCATTTCCAACCCCACAAGAACAGACGGTGAGGAGAGCGACTTATTGGATTGGATCCCACCCAGCAGTGACTTATACGCTCAACCTATATGTCACAGATGGTGGGATTTCAGTGTGGTTGATATAGGAAATCCACTAAGGAGTATTGATCTTTCTAAGATCTGCTCTCTCTGCCTGATCTCCACGGGATCTGAACATCCGCAGAGACCTGGAGGGGAGTGCAGCCGCTGGAATCTCGCTCTACCTTTGTCGGCTGAAGTTTAGGTGAGACAACGCAACATTTTCGCCATATCCAATCGCTGATCCTAAAGCTTTACGATTACACTTCACCACATTGATGCTGTTAAAAAGTCAGCGTTCCTTCCCAAATACTATGAAATAGACATGTTTTAAGTTTGTGAATGTTTTCTAAATAAACTACACTTGTCAAACCCAGGCACTTAGCTTCTTTAGTGTCGGTTGCAATGCCTGTGAAAGACAAAGGAAAGAGTGTGACCTACAGCAGCTCAGGCTGTAACAGAAATCCAAGGAAATTTACTGATGACTCATTGTTTTCCTGCCAACAGATCTCTGGGTGGATTAAGTTTGAAACCACAACAGTAATAATCAGTTTTGCCTCAAAGAATATCACCAAAACAAAAAAAGAGAACCTGCAAACAAATGACCTATAATGGGATATCTGAGTCAAGTGCTACCCATTGTTTCAACAGGGACTCTGCAGCTAGACACCACATGAAAGCACCTCTGTCTACATGCAGATTTAATGGATTTATCTCCTGATAAATGGGGCTTTTCATATGAAAAATGTGAGGCTTGTCTGTAATTATGACTGGGCTTGGCAACTTAAAAAAACAGTCAGGCTAAACCAGAATTTGGAAATAACCAACCAGTGAGCAGTCAAGGCCACTCCTCCAAAACACATAAACATGCCCTGCCTCAGTAATGGTGCAGGATGAATCATGCCATGCTCTGCAACTGACTTTACTTAGTAAAGGATACATGTAAGGTGCACTAAAACAAGACAAGATCCAGGATGTGATCTTCTTTTCATCTATGTTATTATATTATTTTGTTTAATCTGTCTCAATGTGTATTTGCTTATTGCATGAATGATTATTTATTCATCTTCTTATCTGTTTTGATGTAGTTTATATTGTATATTGTATATTTTGGAATAAGGCCCATGGGAAAAGGTGGCTAAGAATACTGTATATTTGCAGGTTTGTGAGGCACTTTTGTTTTCTCTTACAGTTATTATCAACATGGCATGACTGGACAATGTTCATGTGTTTTTTTCTCTCAGAGATAAAATAAAAAGTCAGTCACAAATTTTAAAAAGTAAAAAAGATCCACTCATTTGCAACAAACAGGTTTGCAGTCAAGTACAACCCTGACCCCTCCTACCTTTCAGTCTTTATGAATGGCCTCACACTGCGGTTCCCAACCCTTTTTCCTTCAAGACTTCCTCTATCGTAGAAAAGTTAACCCCGCCCCCAAAGTATTTTTCCACATACTCTTCAGCAGGTGCCTTAAACTGATCTCAGTCAAGAACTGCAAATGTAATTCTGACAACCTCAGAGCAGACAAAGCTTGTGCCTTTGCTGAGACCTCTGGCAACCCCCCTGAGGAGACCCAGACCCCAGGTCTAGTGGCTTTTTGTTAACATGCATTACTCCAAGACACACCAATTTGTGTACATGCTGCTGGGCACATTCATAAAAATTCATTGTTACCCCAACACATTCACAACTAACATTTAAGTCTGAATGAGTATGTATGTACTAATGAGTATGTATTTTTTATGAGTTGATTTGCACAGAATTGCTTTTGGTGGAGTCCTGTGTACTGTGACTGGTCTGCTGGGATGAACTTTACTTCCAACAAGCAACAACTTTTCACCACCGGATAGACCGAGCAAATTCTTCCACAAGCACAGTAACCAAAAGTACATTTACACTGACAATAAAGGTAAAAGCAGAAAATTATGGCACCTTCTTATCTTCTAGTTCTTGATTTTTTTAACCACTTTGTGTTGTCGTCTCAATATTTTTAATGTTTTAAAGTGAAATGCAATAAATGTATGTATCAGTGAGGGGATTTGATGGTTCATTTTTGATTTTTATATCTTTACAAATAAAGTGGTCAGATTCAAAGTGTGCAAATACAAAAAAACTGAACTGCTCAGCTCTGGGTAAAGGTTTGCAATCTCCACTTCCCCGGATAACACAATGCACAGATGTCATTCTTCGGGAAACAATAGTCTTCCTGTGATTTCCTGGACTGTTTGTCGGTGATCTGCTGTAAAATTGCAAAAGCAGGCTGCTGGAACAAGTGCATAAAGCTGCCAGCCCCCCACCTATCTCTCTCTCTCCTTCCCTCTCTCTACCATCAGTGTGTCACTCAGACAGTTTTAATCTCTGGTAAGACAGTCACGTCCAGCTTTTGTCGCCTGCCATGTAAACTATGGTGAAAAAGCGACCTGCTGCCTCTTCCTCCAGTCTCCACTGCTCTCCTTCATTACTGCACGCGGCAGGAGTGCCAGAGCTCACGGTGAGGTAATCCCTGCTGGAAGACATCACTATATA